TTATAACAAACATGATTTGAACCAAGTGTGTGTGGCAGTCTAATGGGTTTTCTGTGTAGATTTAGGGGCAAAATGGACCAAAATTACCATAAAATTTGACAAAAGCATGGAAGTTGTCCATTAATGTACATATACCAAGGGACCTTTACTTTATTATTTAAAGGTGAAAATTCCTGTAGATAAAACCCCTTAAACCCTAGAAATACTCCAAATACCACAAAAACCCCTTCTGAGCTGATGCCTTGCATGTTTCATTCAGGGACAAATCCTGTGAAGGCTTTTGTAAAAGAGCTGGCCCGCAGATCCTAATATAAAGGTTTGTTAATGGGATTTTATGCATGAATAAGTTAATTTTAAGGGATAAAAACATGAAAGGTCACCAAGTACCAATACAGCTGTGCCTGAACATGAACCTGACCTTTCAGCTGACATTGTCACAGACAGTGTGTGGGTGATGGATCTGACCTGGCCATGTCCAGAGCAGGCAGTCTGGTATCCTCCTGGACAGGGGCTGCAGTCAGGACCGTAGAAACCTTTACAGCACGCTGGAATCTAAACATAGGGACACATCATTGCATACACACCTCACTCTAATGCTTAACATTGTCCACTTATGTCTTTTTACTCAACATGGACAAGATGTCTGCAAAGAGTTCAGTAATCTGCTGATGAAGATCATGCCCAAAAGCTCCAGAACAGCTGCTAAGCTGATTACCAGCGGTTGTTTCCAAGGTCAGGACTGAACTCATTTCAGCGGCTTTAGTCAGAGCTGGCACAGCTGCTGCCCTGAGGGATTCAGCACATTTGTTTGTAACATCCAAAACATGTGTTTGTGTACCGTGACAGTGACATTGCAGAGCGGGGAGCAACCTCTTGCTGGGATGCGGACAGATGGGTGGGTAATGGAGAGAGTGTAAGTACAGCCAAATGTGGAGGAGCCCTAAGATCACCACAGAGAGACCATCAGGTTTGGGATCACATCCCGAGACAGAGTTTCTGGTCCAGATAAAAGTGTAGGAAGAACCACAGAGTGAGTCTTACCATGTAAACTCCAGACGGGCACCGGGACAGTTGGACTCTCAAGCAACTGACACACTCACCCTGAAAAACAATCTCACATTCAGTAATGTTCACATCAGAGGGGAAGAGGAAACTTGGGATGAGTGTGGACACTCAACCCCTCCTGTGAGGAAACGTTTCTGTCGCCCCACATGTTAAAGCCAGAATGTTAGTGACAACAGGTACCTGTGCTGATGCTAATGCTAGCCTAGCGGGGAAACAAACCCACAGCGAGACTAAATCTTCGCTTATGAAAACTGGACTCAAATGCATTTGGTTTTTGTTGACTAAGCTTCCAACACTGAAACTACATCTGGTGCCAGTGGGAACATGAACATCACCTGGATGATCCTGGTCTCGGTGACATCACACCTGTGGGGCAGCACGGGTTCAATGGAGAGCGGAGTCAAAACTCCATCCACCACATACAGACGTCCGTTTTTGGCTTCGACGGCCATTTCCAGCACTGCTGCTCCGTTCACCAAAATCTGACCCTGGAACAGAAAGAGCCTAAGGCAGTGGTCCCCAACCTTTTTATCACTGCGGACCGGTCTACGCTTGACAATTTTACCGCGGCCCGGCGGGGGGTGGGGGGTGGGGGGGG